AGAAGGAATCACACATGGCAATACTTACTCTATATCCAATACCATATAGGGATTAGATTGTTCTTTATCTTGTTCGCTGTCATAGAACAGGATCTTCTTACTGCTTACAATTACATACTGTTAGGAGACAGAAAAGAACAAAATATACATTTTAATCCAGCTCATCTTGGATGTCAAAGATGTCACAGCAATTACCACAGATGGTGCACCAATATTTTTCCACAATTCTAAGAAATGGTGCCTAAATGGAGAACAGGAGTACTGTACACTAAGTCCATGATTTGCCAAGAAACTGAATGTGCAACAAACAAAATTCTGATTATCTGATAAAGCAATTTAGGTTATCAGATTAACTGATATTTAAACAGATTTAAATGCCTATGAAGAGATAAAAACAAAGTCCAGAAGAAAGTATGAGAAAAGCTTTTTCTTTCTACGTTATTAATTTAATTTCCACTTGGGACTGGTAGAGAGAGTTAACTGTAATCTTATGATACCTATTTCACACATGCAATTCACAACTAATAGGGATCATATTCACTATTCTGCGTACTGGAATAGCTAGCAGCGCTCATTAAAAAGCCAATTACCTAGAAGATGCTTATTTCCAGAATTTTGTCCAGAATTAACAGTATGACTGAGCAGTAAGCAAACTGGTATGAAAATGTGTATGATACATTTTAGGCAAGGACCCATCAAAGAGGTTACTGAGAAGCAGTAATCAAGTGAAGGCTACATAAGGCAGGTAAGTAGTTGTTGGTTTTATCTCCTACACATAGAATTTGTCAAGGGCATCTGTTTCCAGACTCTGCTGAATACCAGCTACATTATACTGCTGGGAATGCTTATGGATGAATGTACAAATGTTTGAAGACCATGAATGGCTGTTCTTGCCTCTGGCTGAACAAAGTGTCTTAATCTGCTCCTCTCAGAGGTAGCTATACCAGCTAACATATTTTTTACATTTAAGTAATGAGGGAACACATATAAAAAAAACCCTGAAGTGCTGAAAACCTGCAGTAAGTTTAAAATCCAGCCTACACATGAAATAAGATAGTAAATCTGTCTTTCTTACCTTTTTGACCCATCCAAATTTTTTAGTATTATTTCTAACAGGCAGTGATAGCCAACCTTCCAATCTTGATTCTGAAAAAGATAAATATTAGAGAACAGAAATATTCATAAAACATTATTTTTGAGACTACTGTGCATTTTAAAATAGTTATCGAAGACCAGTAAAGAAGCAACAGAAGCAACAGAGCAAACACGAGAATATGAACCATTTAACAGTACAAGGTCTTGCAAAGTTTATCATGGTAGATGTTTAGGAATTCATCAAATTGTGTACTCCTGAATACAGCCAATAATCAGCAATGCAACCACAAAAACATTGTAGGCATAAGGAAGAAAAGGAAGAGCAAACTTGCAGTTATAGCACACCCATTCCCTTTAGTAATTTTTTCAAGTCTTAAAATGCTTATGTCTATCAACCTTTACCTTTTACAACAGCATCTAAAGATATTAGTACAGACCACACAACATCCAGTGCAAGACAAAAAAATGCAAATTACCACCACAAATAACCTATAGCCTCTATATGGCAAGGGAAATGCCAGTTTAGTATTCTAATTCATACTTTTGGTCTGTAAATTTATCTTTTACCTAATTTTGCCTATGTCTCCTAGGCTTTCTAACCCCAAGTAAGTAATTTTTTGCTAATCCTTAGGCCTTGCCTAAATTCATCTGCCCTTTCACACACTTACAATATTTTATATTACACTAGCACGTTAGTCAGGTTTGATTTATCAACAGTATTAGAAGCTCAGCTGTTGCATGACATACCCATTTCAGCAGTAACCAAAAGCTCACCAGGATCACACTTTCCCAGTGTTCCCTAATACACAGGATCACATAGCCTTTGGTCCTATTTTTATAGCTGCACTTAACACAAGGCTTGCTTTCCCTTGTGTTTTATTAGGAGGAACTACTCCATTGCAATAATATTTTTCTAATGAGTTTCCTACCCCAGCAGATAACCTCTACTGCTCTTGAGGAACCTCCAAGTCAAAAATACTGAAGCCTTAAGCACTAACAGTGCACCCTGCCCATGTTTAACAAAGAGTTATTATATATTCATAGAATTCTCAATACATCTAGAGACTTAATGCAAGGTTATTTATTCAGATACACACTGTCTCAAAGTTTATTGCTCTAACACCTTTGCTGTTGAGGGGCCATTTTAATGTAGGGACCAAGAACATGAAGTAGTTCTATCACATGTGTTCTGCCTCCTTACCTGCCACCTTATATTTTCCTGTCAATCACACCTGATACAAAGTGTAGCAAGCATCATGCAGATGCAAAAAAAATAAGCCCACCCCACATCCAGAAAGCACATGTAGTACAAAAAATAAGCATTAATGTTTTTCCTATTTTTCTCTGTAATCTCTAATACTATTGCATGAAATTGGACAAAATGAGTTTCTGATTGTACTTCTTCATTTCTGGTGTCCATACAGTAGTAACAGATCAGAGAAGGGACAGAATACTCCAAAATTTTCACAGTATGTGCTTATAAGCACTAGGAAGGGAAAAAATAATGAAACAAAACCAACATACCTCAAACCTGTTGCAAATATGTCAGCAAAAAGTCCTAGCTTAGATATGATTTTTACTTTAGAACAAAACATAGCCATGCACAAAAACGAGGCTAGCAAAGAAGAAATTATGTATGTGCATAGCTCTTCTTCCATTAGAAGCCTCATAGCAAAAAAACAGAGAATGAGAAAAATTGAGAAAATGCATTATTCTTTACTCTAGTTCAATGAACTAATGTAAATATCCCCAAAGAAGTTTTGCCTTCAGTGGAAAGATATTCACACTTTAAAGGAACCTCAAGTGAAATGCAGAAATTTGAATGCAACTAAAAAACCCACCTCAAACACTGACAGTATGCAGAAGCTTCGCTCAAAAGAGTGTATGTGTAGTCATACAAAATGAACACAGAATTAGTAAAACAGAGTCCTGTTTTATCAGGCTTGCAACTAACAAGCACTAGACTCTAATATACAGTCAGAAAACAAAACACAAGCCCCATGGCAAGCACAAGAGCCTGCTCATTACTAGCTAGCTAAACATCACTAACAGCTATAAATTCAATCTAGCACAGTAACATACTATATGTATCTGGAAAAATGAACAAGATTTGCTTGCCTTACCACAAAAGAATCAAATATAAGATTAAGGCAAAACAATGTAATACTCAGAAGACTGATTTCCTACAAGAAAATAATGACCAAGTAGATGTGACGAGGTAGGTGTTTCCACACTTCACTTCAACACAAAGATTTGACTTTTTGTTATCCAGTACCTTAGGGTCATAGGGATAGCTGCAGATACTGGATAGAGGCTAACTTGGAAACAAGGCCATAACGCTCATTTATTCAATGCTTTAATAAAAATGGTGGGTTTGTAAATGGCAGGAAGCATATGCAAACATTCAGAGAAAACAGGCCAGTTATTTGTTCATGCAAACCTTCTTATGTCTTTGATGGCAATGTTTACTGCCACTGCAGCCCATCACCTGCCAGACTTGTTTCTTGTTTCTTTAATAATGTATTAATAGTGTTAGTTTTGAAACAGAGAAAAGGACACAGTAGTAACAAAATCAAACAGTTTTCAGGGATGTCACCTGTGCTATCAACTTCTGTAGGGCTGTGAGAACAAGACAAAGGTTCTTCCTCTGAGTCAGAATCAGAATCAAGAAGCATGCGAGAACTGGAAGGCTTAGTGGCAATACTGACAGAGGTAGAAGAGTGCTGATAGGTAAAGGACATGGATTCCATAGTGTGGGATTGAGTGATATGGACTAAACATAAAGCATAAGGGAGGAAAAAGGCAGAAAAGAAGTCAAAACCGAGTATCTAAGAACAAAGTATTAGTCTTACATTTCATCACATATACACAGTAACTGCAAAGTAACCATCACAATAAAGCGGAAAAAACCAATTTACTTCTACTGGATTACAGCAGAATTTTAAAAATAAATTTCTTTAAATAAATGTAAGATGAAGTATGATTACGGACAGATTTAATTAGTAGGTGGATAGTGATCACGATGAAAGGACTGATAAGATGGTAGAAATAGATGAAGATGAAAAGTCACAGAATCACCAGATCATCAATTTAATATTTCAGCTTCTATGTAAAACACTGATACAAACCCAGTTGATGCAGAAATATTAATAAAATTAACATACCAGGGAATCCATCATCTGCCTCAGCATCTCCAGGTCCACTGCCTATGCTACTGTTGTCTAGACCAATGTGCAGTGACTGCAGCTGTGAACGAAGCTGTTCAATGTCACTGTCTTTGCTGTCCAGAGTCATTTGCAGTTCAATCCGTATCTGACTCTCTTCTGCTATTTGCTGTCAGGATAAATTACAAGATTTCCTATTATCACTGCACTTGGTCACTCAGAGAAAATATAAGTATAAAATTAAGCAGAATTTGCAGCCAATCTCAAAATATACACTGTGTATTCCTTTGGTTCATGGGCAATTCAGGAATAGAGACTGTATACGCTATATTAAAGCCTGATTCAATACTGTGATTTTACAGAAAATGCTGCCAATGTTTAAACTTGCAAAAGGGTCTTACTGCCTGCATTTCATTGATTTCCTTCTGATACTTGATCATCATTTGGGTTAACTTCTCTCGTTCAGACTTCAGTTCCATATGCAGCTTCCTATTTTCCTTTTCCTTCCTCCGCACATCAGTGTCAGCTCCGCGTTTGACTGGACCCTTTCGATTCATGATCTCAGCCAATTTATTCACAGCCTTCCCATGGGAAAGAAAAAAGTGACACAAAACCACTCCAATTAAATAGAGTAATATCATGTATGAAAAAAATCTTCTCTCCGATCTACAACCAGACACTTTTAACAGTAAACTAAGACCTCTGCCATCCAGTACCATGAAGCTGCTTTAATTCAATGCATTACTCAAAAAGAAGGTAATGATGCCAGTTTTACTGTAAACAAGTATTAGCTCTGAACATTTCCACTCGTTTAAATAATTACAGAATCACAGAATCAACCGGGTTGGAAAAGACCTCAAGGATCATCGAGTCCAACCCTACCGTTGTTACTAGACCATGGCACTTGAAAACCTCCAGGGATGGTGAACCCACCACCTCCTCAGGCAGCCCATTCCAGTGCCTGATAACTTTCTCCGTAAAAAATCTCTTCCTAATATCCAGCCTAAACCTCCCCTGGCAGAGCTTGTGCCCTCCTGTCCTACTGCTAGTTGCCTGGGAGAAGAAACCAACCCTCACTTGACTACAACCTCCTTTCAGGTAGCTGTAAAGGAGACCCAAAATATATCATTGCATTAGAATGACACCTGTTCTAAAAAAACCAATCCAGATTAAAATCAGAAATATACTACTTTATAGAACTTACAGAGGAATATAAATCAAGATGGAAACCAGTAAAATATCGATTCATTTGACTGAAATTAAAGATTTTTTTGCTGGAGGACTGCATCTGAATTAAGAGTTCCTCTGATATAGCATGAAGATCAAGTTCACTACACTGAAAGTCTACTTAGGATAATCAAACAAAAGTTAATATATTTTGCTTCAGGGCAAAAAAGAATAGAGTATTAATAGTACATATGAATACTTAATCATGGGAAGTTTTCAATTAAAAATTATTTGATTCACAAACACTATCTCTTCATTAATTTAGATCCATTTGCTTACCTGAGTTTTCAATGTTCTTTCATTCAACAACTGTTTCTCAAATTGTGCTTTAATATTTCCTACATTTGCTTCTTCTTCTTTTAGCTTTGCAACTTCTGTAGCAAGATAATTCAAAAAAATTCTATGAAAACTCATTACAAAGAAAGCAGTACTCTTAAAGAACGAAACTGGTTTCAAACTAAATCACATTTGTTTCAGAGAATACATACGTTCTTGTACTTCCTTCAGTTTATTGTTCAGTTCTTCTTTCTCATTAGCAAGATTGGCCACATCACTAGTTAATGTCCTATTTGCTTCCTCCAACTGCAAAACAAAAAGTGCACGTGGCCATGTAACAAAACTCATTTGGCATATGAAGCTTTACAGGACAGAAGGAAATGCTGCAGTGACACCAGGTTAAGGATAAAAGAGCTTGCTCTAAGAGGGGAAGGGGCACAGAAGCAAGAAAGGCCAGAGCAATGCACAGGAGAATAACAGTAATAGATTTTTGAATTTCAATCATAAAAAAAAAAAAATTTTTACAATGTCAGATATACTTGCATATCACTTGTCTCTCAATATGCTAAATAACAATGGTCAGGGTCTACAAACAACCTCTACCAAAATCACAACTCATAACTCACCGAGGCTATAGTGGCATCTTTCTCAGTGAGTTCCTGTTTATGCCTTGCCATCATCTCTTTAATCTCCAGCTCCTTCATGATCTTCTCCTTTTCCAAATCAGAGTACTGTTCTTCAGCAATGGAACGGGCAAGTTGTTCTGAATCTGCTTTTGTCAAAGTGATCTCTAGCTGAGCAGCCAAGGAATCCCTGCAAATTATTGTTATACACTTTTAACTTTAAAAAGAGTATGTTATGGGGGAGGGGGGAGAGAGAAAACAACAAAAAGTCATCCTCATCTTTTATGTATTAGAAGTATAACTAGCAAAACCTACCTCTCATCCTGTAAGTCCTGTATCTTTTGCTGCATTTCTTTACAAAGTTTGGTCTTTTCCTCACATTCTTCTTTAAGTTCTCGAACTTGTGTCTTATACAGAGTCTAGAATTTAAAGTTGGAAAGAAAATGATGTGCCTTCTATATTCTAGCTTGAAGGGTCACAAAAAAAGACAGACGATGACATTGTATGCAATTCTTTCACCACACACTCAATTAGATTATAATTGCACAATGCTTTCTCTAAATTTAACTAGAAGTCATCATCATTCACAAATGTGCTTTGGTTATTTTACTTTTCAGTTGTTCTTTTTTTAACTTCTGTATTTGTGAATGGATAGATGCATGGTATACATTTTATATGCTTGCAAATACACTGTTAAAGATAGTGTAAATATGAAAATCATGATGTGATAGAAAATCATAAGTACCAGAGGCAAGTAAAATAATTAAACCCTTTTTTCCTACTATTTTAAATCTTTGACATAATTAGACATGTAGAGTTTAGATTTTAGCCACACAAATCCACAAAACCAACATGACAGTTGAAGAACAGTAAGAAGTATAGGACAAAGGGAAAAACAGAAAATAATTTGAAATTCAAAATTTCATGAAATCGATACAAATCTAGACCTCTAAAGAAAATGAAAGAATCATTATCTTGCTCTGTACATGCAGATGACTTAATATAGGTCAAGTGACAGACAACTGCAAGTAGACTTACTGCAGGGATTTCAAGACAGATTGTCTCTCCCTGGCCCATCCACAGCAGTCAACTGACCTCAGTTCTCCCTTTCTCTCCTTTAATGTCTGCAACATTTTCATCTCCTAAAACTAGACAGTCCTCCTCACTGGCCTAAATGCCACAAGTAAATATTAAGTTTCCATTAATTCTGAAACAAGCCCTTTGGCACTCCCTCTGTGCAACTGGCTCTGCACCATTAATAAAAGTTAACTCTACAGGCTAGTGATGATTTTTAAGTACGATACCTATTTATTCTGTTGGTCCTAATCACAAATCAAAAACTCCCAAATCTACCAAGTTTGGCTGCAATGCAAAAACTTCCTTCCAAGCCTTAAGTGCACACATTTTGTCACACACGACTCTGAGAACATAGCTCTTCTCTTCCATGCAGCACAGAAGAGATGCTGAATGCAAAAGGCTTGAAACACACAGAAAATTATTAACACTGTGGAAAAATGAGGAGGTTGACTCCACCCTCCTGCT